TTTATATTTATATAAAATATACATTATATATAGGCGTTTGACAGCCCTAATATATACACATACCTTAGTACAGAGTTAAGCTGTTTACTTGCAAAATAAAACAAAATAAAAATTATAAAGATTAAACAATTTTTATAAACCCAGTTTGAACAGAGCTAATCTGTTTACTTCTTAAATAAAAAAAAAAAAATAATAATAATAATAATAAACATATATATATATATATATATACACATACTTTTGTACAGAGTTAAGCTGTTTACTTGCAAAATATGAAAATAAAATAATAAAAGTTTTGTTATTTGTACACTAAACTGAGTTAAATGTTCTGGTGTTGTACCTGCTAGGGCCGGGTGGACGGGTCCCGGTCCAGTGAGATTCTTCACAGGGAGTGCAGGAACCCTGAGAACAACAGACATCAACACAGTCAATGATGCATTTCCACTGAAACATTTGCAGCTGATGTACAATAAGAGACCATCCAACCCTCTGATGATGAGAAATGAACATGCGTCCAAAATACTTGGGACTAAAACAGCCTAAAACTCACACGCTTCCTCATCCGCTCATGCCAGTGGAACCATCCAATCAAATTAAGTTCTGAACGGACCAATCAGCATCCAGTGAGAAACACCGTGAGAAAAACAAGTAAGAAACACCGACGCCTCCATCAGATCACACACACATGTGAACTACAGAATATCTGTTCATCTGAATATCGTCTTAATTATATCAGCGGGGGGGAAGACGCGTCATTACAGCTTATCGGATCACACGAGGAACAAAAACTAATTAATAAAGCACCGAAAATGAGACTTTCATCCCTGAGGAGAGAAGATCAGCCTATCCAGCACATAAACAGGCATTCATCTCAAATCAAGTGAATCTCGCTGCTGTTTACTTAAAGGCCCAGATATCTTTTAGGCACGGTACAAAATCAAAAACTAGTTTGAATTTCTAATCATATTTCAGCTATAAATGCAGCATCGTCATCATCGCTCTCTATCTGGTTTCATTTCTCTTGTTCACACTGATTAGATCTAGTGGCTGAAACGACATGCTATTCTAGGATGCAGGGTTATTATAGTGTTTTTATTATTCTTGTGCAGAATTAAAATAAAAAAAAATACAAATATTAATTAAAACTAAAATGGCATCTCAATTATATTAAAGTGACACTGCTAGGATGTTGTGGGTGGTTGCCAAGGTGTTGCTATGTGGCTGCATTGGAATGATAATTATTTAGAACCAGGCCGCTTCAGTCTGTTCACGTTCATGAATAGTTTTCATAGATAAATAAACAATATAACAAATGGTTACTCTAAACTCCAGGTTGTACAAAAAAAAAAAAAAAGCAGAGAGCACATCAACACTGAAATGATCCCTAAAAACACTGCAGTGGCTTGAGACTCTTTGGTATATTATATATATACACTCACCGGCCACTTTATTAGGTACCCCATGCTAGTAACGGGTTGGACCCCCTTTTGCCTTCAGAACTGCCTCAATTCTTCGTGGCATAGATTCAACAAGGTGCTGGAAGCATTCCTCAGGGAGTTTGGTCCATATTGACATGATGGCATCACACAGTTGCCGCAGATTTGTCGGCTGCACATCCATGATGCGAATCTCCCGTTCCACCACATCCCAAAGATGCTCTATTGGGTTGAGATCTGGTGACTGTGGAGGCCATTTTAGTACAGTGAACTCATTGTCATGTTCAAGAAACCAATTTGAAATGATTAGAGCTTTGTGACATGGTGGAAGTAGCCATCAGAGGATGGGTACATGGTGGCCATAAAGGGATGGACATGGTCAGAAACAATGCTCAGGTAGGCCGTGGCATTTAAACGATGCCCAATTGGCACTAAGGGGCCTAAAGTGTGCCAGGAAAACATCCCCCACACCATTACACCACCACCACCAGCCTGCACAGTGGTAACAAGGCATGATGGTTCCATGTTCTCATTCTGTTTACGCCAAATTCTGCCTCTAACATCTGAATGTCTCAACAGAAATCGAGACTCATCAGACCAGGCAACATTTTTCCAGTCTTCAACTGTTCAATTTTGGTGAGCTCTTGCAAATTGTAGCCTCTTTTTCCTATTTGTAGTGGAGATGAGTGGTACCCGGTGGAGTCTTCTGCTGTTGTAGCCCATCCGCCTCAAGGTTGTGCGTGTTGTGGCTTCACAAATGCTTTGCTGCATACCTCGGTTGTAACGAGTGGTTATTTCAGTCACTGTTGCCCTTCTATCAGCTCGAACCAGTCTGGCCATTCTCCTCTGACCTCTGGCATCAACAAGGCATTTCCGCCCACAGAACTGCCGCTCACTGGATGTTTTTTCTTTTTCGGACCATTCTCTGTAAACCCTAGAGATGGTTGTGCGTGAAAATCCCAGTAGATTAGCAGTTTCTGAAATACTCAGACCAGCCCTTCTGGCACCAACAATCATGCCACGTTCAAAGTCACTCAAATCACCTTTCTTCCCCATACTGATGCTCGGTTTGAACTGCAGGAGATTGTCTTGACCATGTCTACATGCCTAAATGCACTGAGTTGCCGCCATGTGATTGGCTGCTTAGAAATTAAGTGTTAACGAGCAGTTGGACAGGTGTACCTAATAAAGTGGCCGGTGAGTGTATATATATATACACTACCGTTAAAAAATTTGGGGTCGGTACGATTTTAAATACTTTTTAAAGAATTCTCTTCTGCTAACCATGGCTGCGCTTATTTGATTAAAAATACAACAAAAATCAGTTATAGTATTAAATATTATTCCAGTGTAAATCAGCTGTTTTCTGTGTGAATATATAGTAAAGTGTAATTTATTCCTGTGATCAAAGCTGAATTTTCAGCATCACCAGTGTCAGTGTCTTCAGTGTCAAATGATCCTTCACAAATCAGTATAATATGAGGATTTGATGCTCAAGAAACATTTATTATTATTATCAATGTTGAAACAGTTGTTGGTCTGTCAGGTGTACAGTTTTTTTTTTTTAGGATTCTTTGATGAATAGGAAGTTCAAAAGAACAGCATTTGTTTGAAATAGAATCTTTTGTAACATTATAAATGTCTTTACTGTCCTTGATAAATAAAAGTATTGATTTCTTTCCTCCAAAAAATAAAAATAAAATTCTCACTGACCCCAAACTTGTGAACGGTAGTGTATATATACATACAATGATACTGAATGTTTAACAATGGTATTTTAAAACTACAAAGTACTTCAATTAGCCTGCAGGTCATCAATAAATGTAATTAAAAAAAATATATATATATATATATAAACTCAATAGAAATCATAATATAAAATATTAAAAAACATAAAATAAAATATGATTTTGCTCAACTGGTCTATATGTTAAAGGGATAGTTCACTTTGAAATTAATTTTTGGTATGTTTTAGCTTACCTCAAGGGCATCCAAGATGTAGGTGTCTTTGTTTCCGCAGTAGTTTCAATTTTGATATTTTTAGGTCAAACCGTTCTTGTCTGTCAGTCATATAATGCAGGTCTATGGTCACCACCTCAAAGAGCAGCACAGAGAAGTCCAAATTAAACATGATTTAATGACTCTTAAATGTAAGTACACATTGATGGCCTAAGACACGAAACGAGCGGTTTGTGTGAGAAAACGAACAGTATTTATATCGTTTTTACCTCTTGTAACCACAGCCACGTCCAAGTGATCTGAGGGCGCGGGCGCTTCGGTCTGCGCAAGCGCCGGAAGTGATCTCTCGCGCGTGTACGTCACTCATACAATTGTTTTATTTTATTATTTTAATTGTTTTCTTTTACGACGGTTTAAACATCCCGGATAAGCGCAAATTAGTACCATTTTAATTAGCCGTCTTACCTACAATCTCTGTTCTGTGTAAACAATGAGTGACGTACACGTGCGAGAGATCATTGCCCAGACCGAAGCGCCCGCGCCCTCAGATCACTTGGACGTGGCTGTGGTTACAAGAGGTAAAAACGATATAAATACTGTTCGTTTTCTCACACAAACCGCTCGTTTCTTGTCTTAGGCCATCAATGTGTACTTACATTTACGAGTCATTAAATCATGTTTAATTTGGACTTCTCTGTGCATGCTCTTTGAGGTGGTGACCATAGACCTGCATTATATGACTGACAGACAACAACGGCTTGACCTAAAAATATCAAAATTGAAACTACTGCGGAAACAAAGACACCTACATCTTGGATGCCCTTGAGGTAAGCTAAAACATACCAAAAATTAATTTGAAAGTGAACTATAAATTTTTAAGATGAATTGAATTATTACATTACTCAAATAAAATAATAAAATAAAATATCTTCTCAATTAGCCTATAGATCATTTAATAAATGGGATTAATACATAACTCAATGACTTAATAAAATAAAATAATTTTTTTTAAATATACATAAAATAAAATAAAGAATGAAATAAAATAAATTCCACTTAATTGGACTATACCTTAGATAAATAGTTAATATATTTGAAATTGCACATCTGATAAAGGAATTATTAGCCTACATGAATTAAATTAAATAAAACCCTTTGTACAGGGTTAAGCTGTTTACTTCTTGTTTACATTCAAATAAAACAAAATGAACCATTTCTATACGCCTGCATCCAGAGTTAAGCAGTTTACTGGAGTAAAACCGAGCGTGTCATATCACTACGCGTCGCACTCGTCTCCATCATGTCTCATCTCTCCTCTGTTACAGATCTCAAACTCTTTCGAGATCGAGCCGAACCAACATGAGAACGATCCTACCGTCTGTCCTCCACCGAGTCTTCATCCGCATCCATCATCTCTCCTCTCTCATTAAACACACACACTTCCTCTTCTGATCTCACACTCGCTCACAGGAAGTAAAACAGGAAGTCAGTCGTTGAGTTGAATAGAACTACGAAACCGTTAGTGTTTGTATATTAAGTAAGCCAAAAACAACACTGAAATGGGTCAGAAAACGAACCTGTGTCAAATACCCTTACTAAATGATTACAGATATATCTGAATTACAACATAACAATATGAATCATACATAGGCCTATATTCATAATTAAAGGGATGTTCATAATGGCACTAAACTATGAATTCAGATTGAATGATTCTGCTCAACTCTATTCAAGTGTGTGTGTGTGTGTGTGTGTGTGTGTGTGTGTGTGTGTGTGTGTGTGTGTGTGTGTGTGTGTGTGTGTGTGTGTGTGTGTGTGTGTGTGTGTGTGTGTGTGTGTGTGTGTGTGTGTGTGTGTGTGTGGAAGCTCTGCATATGTAGGCGCCAGCGCAATCACTTGCATCTAACTTAAAATACTCCGTCACATTTGGGGCCGGTTTCACAAAGCTATTTTAGACCGGTCTATAGTGTTAGACAAGTCTAAACTTTGCTCATAGACTAGTCTAAT